CGAACGAAAAAAAGATGGCCGCTCGATTCAAAGTAAGAGAATAGAAAAGAAGAAAGAGAAATGCAGAGTTTTGGGTGCTCGTAGGAAAATATTTATAACTTTTGAGTAAAATACAGCACGGACCTCAGCATCGTCTCATTTTGAATAAAACACTTTTCTCTAGAGAGCAGAAAGGAAATACGAAAATTTTCTCTCTTTATATATCTATCGCTGTCAAGATATGTGTGTGTTTTCCTTTCTGCTCTTCACGAGAAAACAGAATGCAAAAGTGACTATGTGTCAGTGAGTACAATGATCACTTTGTGCGCATTTGTGATCATTTTATGCTCCTTTGTGAGTCATAGTGACTTCTAAGTGAATCCATCCCAAGTATAATAAAAAAAAGTAAATTATCTAAGATCGACGTACAATACTAAATAACTAAGGAAAAAGACGACAAAATGACTGCAATCGATGAAAGAGGTCGACTTAATGGGGTCCTATAACAGAAACGTTTATCTGTAGGTTTTATGAGTGCCGAAATAAAAAGACACTACTGTGTCGGCTGTTCATTACTCGCAAAAATATGTTACAAAATACTATTATTGTATATTCATATTCTCACATAAGTTTTTTCTTTTGGACGATAAAGAAGCCTAAGCCAATATTTACATTCATGAACTTTTTTCCTGCTTCTTTTTCTGTTGTAATTTGTTCAGGGAGAAACGCTGTAGACATAGTATGTATCTGTTGAAAATCTTAATGAGGATCAGATTATGAAAATGAGAGACTGCCTGTTTCAATGTGGGACATGTGCCCTCTCGCGATGCTTCTCTCTCTGTTGTGGTTTTTTCTAAAAGACACAGAAGAGTTTATGCAAAACTACTTTGGTAATATTTGAATGAGCCCGAGTCTCTTCGTTTCCTTTGTCAAGAAAAACTATTTCTGGTTTTATGCAGAAATGTTTCACAATTAGCGATGGAAACGAATACATCAAATCCTCGTTGCAACTAGGCACGTTCACCCTACTCTTTTCTAGTTGCTGATTGGGAGAAATAAAAACAAGAATCTTGCTGATTTATATCAAAATAAACTTTGAAATGAAAAGAAATAAGAATCTTCCAAGAACATGGAGAAGAAAGTGTATTTATGCACGACGAACGAAAAAAAGATGGCCGCTCGATTCAAAGTAAGAGAATAGAAAAGAAGAAAGAGAACAAAAATCTATATGTCGGCATACGAGGAGCACAGTCATTTTAGTCCATGGACCCGTGAAATATTGCCGCTTACGAAGTTGATTTTATTTTCAAATGCATCTCCATTACAAACCCCACTTTCCTTTGCAAAGAATATTTTTGAAAGAACAAAGTCGCTCGGAGAAGAGATCTAAGGATTGATTAATGCTCAACCTTATGCCATACAATAAAGTGTAGAATATTAGGAAGATTCCTTTCCGAAAAAGTAGATGGAGCCACAATAGAAAACCTTGATTGGGGACGGCATCAGAGAAACGTACAATAAGATGGCAGTTCGGCTTTTGAACAAATAATTGAAATTTCGGCTAAAATTACCTTTTTTTCGGGCTAAAGTACTGTATGGTGCATTGTCTCGACCTCCGGTGAAAGTATAACAATTTTGTTTCGTGTAACATCCAAAACGGGAATTTGGGAACACTTTACCCGATTTTATCCGGTGACGCTTTCATCTCTGCTCTTCGTTGTCTTCAACCTAATTACAGATTACCAAAGTCGTATGTAAAATATATTCTCGAAAAAAAGATAGATGATGTACTGGTCAGAAAAGAGGTACAAGAAGTACAAAACTTTCTTACACCAAAACAACAAGATATAACATTTACACAAAAAAGAGACATACCAAAAATAAATGATTTAGGAAAAAAAACAAAGCACATAGAACAACAGATAAGCGTTTGAAAAACAAGAGAGAAATATGGCAGAAAAATATGTTCTTTTAGAAAAAAAGGTTAGTTATAGCCCCTTAAAAAGACATTGAACAAATTCGATGCAAAATAAGGTATGAGAGTGAAAAATAACCGGTTAAAAACCTTGCAAAAATTTATTGATCGTAAAAAGATTACTAACAGTCTGAGAAAGTAAACAAATAGAAAAAATGTTTTTAAGTCATAGAATTTTTCGCATTTTTACTGTTCATTTTTGATAAAATTATTGCTTGTTCTTTAAGCCATTTTGTATTCAACGCTGTCTAATTAATCTGTGCCAATGATATGTGTGAACAAAATATTCTAAAAAAACGAAAAGACGAAAGGATTATTTGTCGTCGATATTTGTATAAGTATGCATACTTTTACTGAGACAATGCTATATTGTTTCACTACCAGAGAAAATATTCTGGTACACATTCTACGATTTTGAACATCATTTACGACGAGTGTTGGTTACATCCTTAAATAACGTATCGATGGCAGTTCTCATAGTCGCTTGGAACGATGATGTTGCAAAAGAAGACGTTGATTCTTTCACTGATGATGGGTCTAGAATATAGAAAGAACGGAACTAGTAATAAACGCATCGCAGGTTGTTAAATATTACTGCAATAGCTTGAATTATTTGTGTAAGTGCTTCCTGATCCAACATTCTCAATATTAACCCGGCCCTTGGATGTTTTCAAAACTGATTTTCGACTTGATGATGTTCGGGCAATTATAATTTTATCTTGCTGTTCAACTTCTTGTTCTTGCTGTTGCTAAAATCAGACACCAACAACTCAATTACAATACAAAGGCTTTTTGTCAAAAATGTAACATCATACCTGAAAAGTTTCAAGTGAATCACTAAACAATAGTCTTGTCCTTTTGGACGACATCGATGTAGACGATATATTTAGCGCAGACGGTAACTGCGTTCTGGAAAAATTAACCAGTGATTCATCCAAATCGAAAGACGATAAAGCGTCGTCACCGTGTTCACTATCGTGCGCCGAATTCATCTAGAGTACGAAACAAAAAAAAAAAACAATTTATTTTCACTTACAAAAGACATATTTTTACTTCATTATCAAGTGAACCACTCATCTCATCTTGATCGTTCTGACTTGATAAACGATAAGGATCGAAATTACTTTTTCGATCATCATCACTTGATTGGAAAGAGTTTCCGTCGTCCTGATCGTCAGCACCAGCATCATAATTATTAATATGCCCGTCATCATCAGTCACTAGAGGACGAGAAATCACTATTGCTTGGCTGGACATATTCGTTGTCTAAAAAACGCAAAAAAGATAGTGAAGAGAATGAGGCGAGCAAACACTATATTTTTACTTACAAACCATCTTTGCTCTGGTACAAAAACAGGGCAATTTGAACAGCGAACTTTGTCACACAAACAGTAGGGTGTACAGGGTAGACCATTTCTACCGCAACTACAATTGAGACAATCACCTTTGCATTTGCCACAGGTATGTAATCCTGGATCAGTCGGAATGGGTAATTTAGAAGTCCATTTGATTTTTAATCGTCCATCAAGCATTTCAAAGCCACGGTCGGTTAATTCTGGATAAAGAATATTATTTTTCATTGCTTCTTGCCAAATATATATTTGTCTACTCACACGTAAACAGTGGTAGAAAAGTGCGTCACTTGACGGTGGTAACATAGATGCGATGTTTGTTTTGTTTGATTGCATTTAATGCCATCATCGCACGTAAAGTGTCAATTAAGTCAATTTTTTGTTGTTGTTGTCTCGGTACCGATGGGGGTGGCATTTGGGGCGAACAAGACGATATTTGTGAAAAAGCACGATGATGATTATTACATAAACAGTCGATTATCAATTGTTCTACGAGTTTAATATCATTTTGTGATGATGGCAATTCTTTAAGTCCAACAAGATCATTATATTCATGACTGTTGTTGAATAATGTTTGAAAAAATGTTGCTTTACTGATATTGCGAATAAATGAGCATGTGTCGCAGCCAGATAGAGCATACACATTCATCAATACGATCGGTAAGACATTATGTTTATTAATTAATTCTTTTTGGACATCGGTACAGTTGATGTATCGAGATTGTTTGTCTCTTCTTTGTAATGAATAATCTACGGATACCATTGATATTTGCACGAGTGAAGCATAATAAATGCATAAGAAAATAATATCTGTACCAAGCGATTTAACAACAATTTTGTCATATTCATTACAATCTTCAACACCATTGATTATTTTGTCAATATGCAGCAACATCATACGTGTATCGGCTTCGACCTGATTACTTTTCAACTCAATCGAATTTACTGTTTGTAAATTCTTCTTTAAAATATATGCATTCTCCGGTCCAGCCACTACTAGACATGTATTGTCTGATAAACATTCTACCACCTCTTGTAATAACCAGCATTTCACAACTGCAGCAGCTAAAGCTGCTCGATTTCTAAATTGAGATATAAAAAAAAGGGAGAAAGTGAATGTAAAATTTGAACAATAAACATACCCTCCTCGTAATAATTCATCATATGTTTTTCCTGATGGTAATTTTGTATCAGTTTTAAAAAAATTTTACCTTTCTAACCTCTGGTTTATGGCGATTTGTAAACATTTTCATATCTGCACTCAGACACGAGTCGAACACAACATCAATTCGATGAAAGTATTTGAAATGAGGATAAACTTTTGTTTCTAATAGATCCAATGCGTAATGGTAGACGGTTTTATGATGATTTGCCGGCCTTGTTTGCAAAAGAACACCCCAGTCGACTATAATCGCTGATTTATTGCTGGATGACGTTGATAATTGGGCGGGTAGTAACAAGTGTTGATGACTGCAACTGTCCGGAAATGTTTGTTCTAAAAATTTTAATGCGATTGATTTTTGTTGTTGATTGAGCAATTCAGGGTTATTACTGTCACATAAAGCTAATGGGTACTTCGAGAACTCAAAACTGAACAATAACGGTAAATTTAATTCCCGTTCTTGGCTTAATGATATACAACGTCTTATTTCAGCATCAGTATTTTTCATGGTATTAGAATGAGTCTGGCGTCTCGTTTGTTTGACTTTCCCTGTGGCGAGTTCATATGAATCATTGTAACGGATTTTTAATGTCTTAATATCCTTTAACGGGGTTGATAATGGCACAGTTTTATGTATCAAACGTTGATCCATATATTGTTTCAATGCATCAAGACCATCTGAAACATACAAAAAGACAAGGTAGAATGAGGCAGACGTCGATGAAAGTTAAGAAGGAAAAACACTGAGTATAAGAAAAAGAAAATGATGTTATAATAAAAGACTGCTCACTTTGTTTATATGAACATACTGATTTTATAATGTCGTCGTGAATATATTTTCCTGTTATCAATTGTGTAACATGACTGTTATTACATTTGAATAAATTTTCTGGAATCAATTTGGATAATATTAATTTTAAATAATAGTCATCGACTTTCATGCGTGTTGCTGTATATTCAATATGTCCGTCAATATTGCTTTTACTTGTTTCGTAATTGGCTATATCACTGGTAATTGGTGATAGCAAAGATCGGAATGAATACGATTTACACCAGACTTCCACCAGTTTTGAATCAAAATTACCCGATATTCCCCCGTGACCCTTTCCGGCTTTGTTAATACTGCATTCAATCGCCTGATCTAGTGCGATAGTAGAGAAGGATCGACTGGTTCTTCTAACACCGAATGATGTGGATAATACTTCTAGTAACGGTTTCGACCAGGATTGTAAATCGAAAATATGCTGTGATAATAAGCGGGCATAGTTTCGATGATTTGTAATAAAAAATAGTGGAGCCATGTTATTCAGTGCACAATTTCGCTCTTCAAAATTCGACGCCTAAAACGGGAAAAAATGTAAAGTTAGAGGGAGGTAGAAAGAAGTACAACAACAACTTACTCTGATTGCAATGTATAAATTCTGTTATGATCTGCCTTCCCCGGCAGCTCATAAGGTTCATTCTCTCTCCATTCTGCTCTTGTATCTTTCTTGCGCAACTCTTGTTTCATTCTTTCCTTTTCGTTTCCTTCCGCAAAGTATTTTCCCAC